GTCTCAAGTCTTTTTATTTGGCTTTATTGAGACTTGGGAAATAAAAGGTGCCATACACCAGGAATAAAAGAAACAACATGAAACAAGGATCGGAGCTCCTCTGTTCTCCTCTCAGGCACATGCTGCTGCGTTATTCTGCACTCAGGCTGAGAGTCAACATTTTTTCTTCCCTGATTTTTATTCTCAAGAATGTTGCTCAAATCCTTTCATCCAGGGCTTTCTGCAAAAGAAAGGCAACCTTCACTGATGTTGAGCGATCTCAGGTCCAAGAGACCACAACCCAACACTTTTCCTGCTAGGGCTGCTACAAGAATGATTGTTTTTTTTCCAAATATGCACACCATGGATAAATTTTGGAACTTTGTAACACCTTGCTTGCCCCTGCTCCTTGAAAAGTTATTTCCATGCTAAAAAGCTGGGTTAAATGCTCCTTTTTCTTGGGAGATACTTGACTGCAGGGTGCTACTAGGACATTTTGTTTAGCAATAAGTCAAAATAAAATATACAGTACTCAAATATCCAACCTTTACTTGTATTGCAAATCTTTATTTCAACCGATAAGTATGAATTCCATTTACATAAAAAAGGGAAGAGGAGAAAGAGTCCCTCCCACATAAACTTTCCCCACAACTAAATTATTCTTGTTCCCAGGTCTCTCATCCATCCTTCCCTCCTTTTCTCTGATCTTCCACCAACCCCTGCTGGAGCCATCCTGCTCACAGAGGAGCAGGACGGGGGCCTTTGAGAAATCATTCAGGACAGTGATGAGGCTTGAGATGGACCAAAGCTTGCATCTGGGTCGTCTCTTTCTCACACAAGCACACACAAATGAACTTTCCTTCATTTCACTTCCTACCACAACCCTGTTAGGCAGAGTACTTCTCAGGCAGGAAAGACGTTCTGAAAGGGCCAACTTGTGAGTTAAGCTATAGCTTAAAACTGGGACAACACTGAGTTTACTAACACTTTTGGGACTCTTGTATACTAGAGTAGGTTGGCAATATACACATTTAATAAATAATAATAATAATATCACCAAAACAGGGTTGGAGAGCATCACGGAAGAGCTGGGAGCTGGGCTTCAAGGCAAGCCAAAAGAGGGGAAAAAATGAGGAAGGAATCAATGATGGTTTAGTACTTGGGGAGATAAGAATGATCTGGCAGGTGATCCTAAAGAAAAAAGATGGGAGGGAGGTGAATGGAGCTTGGGCTCTGCTACGCTGGGGTGTGAAACAGAACGGAAGGAATTTCCATCCAGGACTTTGCTACATACTAGGATTCTTAGCATGTTTCTTCTATTGTTATCAGTGCCTTTCTTTGAAAGGGTGTTCCTGATCTTTTGGGACCCTGTCCGTAACATGTCCGTAACCCTGTCCGTAAATGTTGTCCCAACATTTCAGATGTCCCCCTCCTGGCCCAAAGCAATCAGAAACCCCAGAGGATGGATAATGGAGAAGTAATAAGAATGGGGCCCCCAAGGCACTTGTGGCTGCCCCTGCAGTCAATGGCCAATATTGCCCTTTCAGTGTTTCTCAAACTTGGCAACTTTAAGATATGTGGACTTCAGGAGAAACCCTGCTTTAAAGACAAGGCTTGTAGGCAGCCAGACTGGATTTATATCCCAGCCTGAGAGCTTCTTCTAGGTTTTCTCCAGACACCACCTCTTTGTCTTGTTTCAAACCTTAAGACTCGTTTCACACAACATGCTCAGCTAAAGCTAAATGGAATTGGGCAGCTCCATTAAATTGGGCAGGTGCATTAGCCGTTTGTCTTAGCTAAACACCCTGAGCAGTTAACAAAGATTGCAAACATTTCAACACACATTGCACACACTCCATCAGTTTAGTTGGAGTCCGAATAGCCAGAGCCAGGAAGAGGTACAGTCACCATCTTCACATGACCAAAGCTCCATGTAGGAGTGTTTCCTCTGTTCCCATCTCACATCACAGCATTGCTTCACACTGCAGAGAAAACACAGGACAGGGCAAAGATGAATTCAACACTGCAGGAGGGTCAGCTGAGGCACGTTGAAGTGACAGAGCTGGAGGAACAAAAGCCATCTATTTTGTTCCCAAGACAACCCAGGAAGTCAAGGTCCATCCTGGTTGGTCAGCCACGCTGCTGTGCCTCCAACCTGGAGTGTGACTCTGACCAACCAGGATGGACCTTGACTTTCTTCTCTGGATCAGTTGTTCCAAAAACGCAAACTCAAAACTAACATGGGTTTTATTTAGGTGGTGGAATAAAAAAAATGCTTTGGCTTGGCAAGGTGGAGGGAGGTAGAAAAAGAGGAAGATGGGGAGAAGGCAGAGGTGACGGAAATGTTTCTTTTTCTTGGGGAGCTATAACATCATACTAAGGAGGTCAAGGAGCCTTCTTTGTCTCTATGGTTACGAGAGCTGAACTTGATTCTGTGCCCCCAAACTTATTTAACTGCAATTCACATGAGACCAGAAAAGGAAGGGCTGAACAGTGGCAAACATCACACTCACCTGTTATTTCTTAAGCCTGCAAAAAAGAAACCCTTCAAAATCTGGGCACGTCCCCCCATCACAGAATATGCTGCAGGAATCCTTGGTTGTGAGAGAGGAACTCTCCCCTCCCTCTGTAGCGGTGTTTTGCAGCAAAAGGGAGAACAAAGAGACATTCCCACCCCAGTTGTACAACAGGAGATCTTCTGCTCCCTTCCAAAGGGCCACCTCCCCAAGGAGATGAATTCCTGGGTAAGTTCTTCACGTCTGTGCTGGACTTTGCTTCTTCCCTTCCCCTCCAGCCCCAAATACAGCACCACCACCACAGAGGGCTTTTCCTGGGTGGCCTCCAGCCCAGCCATCTCCTCCCCTCTCCTTCCAGATCTCTTTCTCCCCCACCCAGTCCTTCTGGGAGAAGATCCTCCTTTGCTGGGGCCAGAGCCTGCTCCTTCCCTCGCCTCTCCTACTTCGGAGCTGATGGGCCAGGAAGGCAGAGTTGGAGCCAAATGTGATGGAATGGACTTATGAAGGCCAGGCTCAGGGAGATAAGCGTGTTCTTGGTCCACAGCAGGAGTGTGGGAAGTTCAAGAGGATGAGGCTGGCACCTCCCTAAGGAATTCACGGTGTTGTGGCTGGCTGGCTTGGGAACTAGAGTTCAGTCTGGGGAGATTCCTGTCTGGAGGTTGTAGCTAATAAACATAACAGAACTGTGTTTGCATTGTCTCTTGGAGTTCTTTGGGCTGAACCTGACATAAATCTTCACCGCAGAGCAGCTGATCGGAGGGCTCCAACCTGAGGGGCTACAGGCAGCCCATAATACTTTCATGGTCCTCTCGGAAAGGTTTTCAGCCTGGACTGCCCCCCACCCCTACCTGCCCCCCATTCCCATTGACATCCTTGCTAGTGCTGCTCTCAGATACATTTCACAGCCTGGCTTGATTCTCATGTGCAAAATATAAACATCAAACATTCAACTCACAAGAAAGGCCACTTCTGGGAACAGCAACTCCCTTATTTGATTCTTAGGTTGTATAAAGAGAGAAAAGAAGAAGAAGAAAACCTTGTTAGAAGAGAACCACAGGGGAACCCAACCAATGACAGGAAGCCATAAGCTTTAATTAACTCACTTTGCCAGATGCACATCATGAAAGCTGGTGCCTTTTAATAAAACGTGTTAATCTGAAAAGGTGCTCCCAGTGCCTGGGGAAAACTCCAGGACTTTAATGCCCTCCGAAAGGCAGGCAGGATTGGGACTAACTGAATCTGTGTGTGTGTGTGTGTGTGTGTGTGCTGTTCCAAAGGGAGAGCACCAACAAAGACAGCGTGCTTCCTGGGTCTGACCAAATGACATTGCTGCTGTCCCAGGACCCAAAGCATGCCAACCTCACTCAGCACATGGAAACAGACCTACCAAAGACCATCCAATCTCTCCCTGTATAGGAGGAGGAATCCCAGGGTACTCGCTTTGATACAACCTGGGTGGAGGGGAATTGGAGGAAGCAGCAGCAGCTGCGAGAGCAGGAAGATTTTCACTGAAATCCTCCTCTGCTGGTCTTTGACCAAAGCCTTTGAAAGGGACCGAACCGCGATGCCTCCTCCCAGCCAAGAAGAAGACGGGACTGTCCAGACCTCAGACTCCGCTGAGCCAAGGCTGGAGTCCCAGCAAGAGGCCGACATTTCAGATGCTCCCAAAGAGGGCTGGGAAAACTGGGAAGAAGCAAGCCCAGAAGGAGCTCCCAAAGGGAGAGACTTGGGAGGAATCTT